TACCAGATAGTGTGCCAAATTCTTTGCCAGTGTATTTAGTGTAGTCCTGATATATAAAACCTTATCTTACATAGTAGGAAACTAAAGCTCAGTGAGGCTGAACAACTTTTCTGTAGACACACCAACAAATTAAGGGCCAGGAATTCAAACTCTTGTCTGACTTGCTTAGTCAGTATTCCTTACCAGCTTATGGTACTATCTTTCTCTGATGGAAACAATCTTTTAGGAAGTTTAATCTGGCTGCAGGATACAAGATGGGTTGTAGGGATGGAGAAATTTGAAGGCAGAGACTGCTTAGGTTCTTGCATAGTAGTCCAGACATGAAGTGATGAGGTCTGGTATAGAGTGATGGCAATCAAAATGGAAAGGAAGTTAAAGGACTCAATAATTGACCCAATGTCAGCACTGAGAACAGTCTCAACACATCGCTTCTCAAGGAAGCCATCCTTGATGCCCTCAACTCCCCCACTTGAATGTTGTCATAGGACTTCTCACAATTAAATTAGTAATTATGTTATGTAATTGGTTTTTTTTTCCCCCCTACTGTTTTAGGTTCTTCCTTGAGGGCAGGACAGTGCTTGTTTATGGCCTAAGCATAGGGAGGTCTTCTTCAAGGTCAAAACTTTTTTGATAATAGTAAGATGTTATTTACCTTTTCAACTCCTTTTCACAAGTGCAGAGGCTACATGATGTGTGATGACATCACTGATGTTAATCAAATTGGTGCTGTATATTCTTGAATTTTCTAGAATTTCCTAAGGTGGTAGGTTAAGGGTATGAATATTTGTGCTTTTAGAAGTTAACTCGCTTTTTAGGTTATATGTTCTATAATATCCCAGCAACCCTCAATATTGTGCAATTGTTATTATATAATCCTGTAGTTTTGTGTCTAAGCATAAATAAAAAATACATTCTGTTGTCTTGTTATGCAATAATGTTTTAAATATTTTCTCAAAACTTGTAAATTTTTAAATTTACAACTTATTTTAGAATTTAATAACTTTATTCTAAAATAAAGCAATTTATATTTTTCTTATTTAAGAATGGATCATGGCTTTAAAAAGATTAGAAGACTACTTGTTCAACCCACAGCTACACCACCTATGTCTAAAAATGCTAAAAAGATGAAATTAATATATCACAGAGTTCTCTGACTCATAGGAAGAATCAGCTCCAAAGAAACTATAAGAAAAAGATACTGAAGTATCTTTAAAGTTATTGTATGACATGGGCTGGAGAAACATACACAATATCTGAGAAACTTTACAAAAAGCCATATAGTGTTGACACTGATGAATGTCTGCTAGATCAAAGTAAAAAATCACAGTAGTGCCACTTCTTAATAATACAGTAACTTGTCATATTAAAGATTAGTGTGCCGAGAAGTCTGCGTTAATATCTCATCTGTAGAAGTGTACTTATGCCTTGCAAATGGATGGATCTACAAATGTGGCTGGGCTTGTTATTTTGCTTGTATTTGTACAACATCAGCATCAACTAGTCAGACACTTATGTGAAAGCTTGGCAACAAATATGTGTCCTGAAATGGTCAAAGTGTTGATTAACTTTTTAAATCTCATGGTTTATCCTGACATTTTCGCTAATGGTGAAAAAGCAAAGGTGGGTAAAACTGCCAGCACCTTGGCATACATCAGGGCAGTGGTACCAAACTGTGGTAGTCATTCTTCACTGCCATGCATTTGCAGTAAATGTGGGGGCGGGGGGGAGGGGAGGCAGTTTCACTTAAGAATGTCCTTGTGAAAACGGTAAAATTATTTTATTAAATCTAGACCCTAAGTACATACCTTTAACATGAGTGATGAATTGGAAAGTTTGCATACAGTACTTCTGCTGTGTGCTAAAATACAATGGTTGTTTCAAGAAAAAGTACTCACACAATTGAGTTGCAAGCTGAATTAGCTATTTCCTTGGAATACTATTTTTACTTGAAAGAATGTCAAATTTTGGTTGTCAGAGTTGGCTATTGGCATTTTTTCGAATATGAAGGAAGTGAGCCTTTCAAGGAAAACAACTAACAGCAGTTGTTGTCAATGGTAACATTCAAACTTTGTAGTCAAAATTAGGATTTTGGGAAAACTTGTATCTACTACCAGGAGCTTGACGTGTGCCCAATAATTGAGTTTTTTTAATGAGATAGATGGTGATGTTAATATGATTTTTTTAGATATTATATAATGAACTGGGCCAAGGTTTGGAAGATTTATGTAACTAAGGGAACCAATATTTTCCAAATGACCAATAGGTGACATTACGAAAATTACAAGTAAGTAACATCTCAACCAACTGAATGCAGAAGATAAACAAAAAATACAGCTGCCTTCTATTAAGGCAGACATTTAAGAGAACTGAATTGCAAAAATGTAAAACAATGCCACTCTTCTCTTTGTTTAAAATATAGTTATTTCCATGAAAATGTTCATGTAATGCATTTGTTACTGTTATAGTTTAATTTTTTTTTCTCGGTTTTAATTTCTAACATGGTAAAAATATTGGTAAACAAAGCTATCTGGGGCCCTCAATTTTTAAGAATGTGAAGGGGTCCTGAGACCAAGAAGTCTGAGAAACAGCTGCTCTAGCACAATGTACATAGTAAACACTCAAATGCCTGTTGAATAACTGCATGGAGTTAAAAGTGACTCCCAAGGATTAAGCCTGGATGACTGAGAATGGGCATGCTAGAACAGGGAGCAGGTTTAAGTGGAGAAAGGTATGTTCATGTTGAGTTTGAGGTGGGACATACAAGGGTAACTATAGTAGGTGGTTGGAAATTTAGAATTTGGGCTTGATAGAAACAAATACCATTCCCCTCTCCAAACTTTTACCATATTCCCACTGACATTCCCACATAAGACTTCACCTGGACTTGGAAAATGCTATGCTGAGAATAAAGATGTTTTACTTCTTCTATGCCTATCTCACTAATTAATATTAAGCATTTGTAGACTTTATTGTACTTTAGATACTTTACAGACCTTTTAAAATACTTTCTTTTTTTAAGTCTTCAACTTTCTTTTGGTCCTTGCAGTGGAAACCTGAGCCATATCTGACACATCTACAGTTTTGGCAGTTTCCTGAAAGTCTTATTACCATTTTAAAAGAAATGTCTAAACAAATGTTTTTCTTTCTAGCCACTAGTATGTTGTCAGTCTCTGGGAGATAACTATCTGCCTTCCTTTCATTAAATTCATAAAATCTGTCTCAGTGTTTATGTCGGTTTTTTCCCCCTCTAAAATATATTGACTCTCCCAATAACAGAATGTCTCTCCCATAACTTAGTCATTTTGTGGTCAGCTTATTAAGATTACCTTCCCCATCTTTTCACATTCCCATGGTGCAAGACGCCCTCCGAAGGTTAAAAACCAAGGTCACACAAGTAGTAGGTGTTAGTGGCATACATAACTCAATCCTAGCCCTTCTGTATCCTCAGGCCATCTCCTGTTCCTGTCACCAGATTATAAAACTAGGGAGGAAATGGCAAACTATTGCAGACAATGTTCACTATGTAGTTGTATCATCAAAAATCAATCTGGCCATATTTTTACAGTGGTATTTAATAGGACTAAAGCTATGATGGATCAAGCACAAATCTGATATACTTAAGAAATAAGCCAGTATGCAAAAATATTAATTCATTTGTTCAACTAATATTAAATGTCTACTCTGGCAGGTAGTGTGGCAGGCATTTGGTAAACAATGGAGAAAACAGGCACGGTCCTTGTATTTTCCAGTTCTGTGGACTGCTGATTAACACTGTTAAGAGGTTTAGGGGTCCAGCCCTGTGGCTTAGCAGTTAAGTGCGCGTGCTCCGCTACTGGCGGCCCGGGTTCAGATCCCGGGTGCGCACCGATGCACCGCTCCTCAGGCCATGCTGAGGCGGCGTCCCACATAACGGCAACTAGAAGGATGTGGAACTATGACATACACCTATCTACTGGGGCTTTGGGGAGAAAAAGGAGGACTGGCAATACATGTTAGCTCAGGGCTGGTCTTCCTCAGCAAAAAGAGGAGGATTGGCATGGATGTTAGCTCAGGGCTGATCTTCCTCAGCAAAAAAAAAAAAAAAACAAACACCGTTAAGAGGTTTAAATGGTTTGTCAGAAGTGAAAGGTGGTTTTATGCTGAACCCATAATAATGCATCTGCATTCTGATGATGGTAAAAACTCCAGTCTAGGATGTAAAACCCTTATAAATGTCTTATTTCTAATTCATTTCCAAGTGTGAGGTAATATAGCAGAGAAACCAGGTTAGGAATTTGGCTATTGCTGCTAATGTGAACTCTTATTCTAAATGTGACATTAAAAGGTAATATGAATAGTACTATTATATTACTAACATGACACTGAAAATCTAAGCTGAATGCAGCCAGAAACTCCAAAATAATCTAAAGAATTCCACACAAAACCCTAGCTACTCTTTGTCCCAGGGAAGCACCATTTTCACAAGGACTTAATGTTGAGGTCTTTTCATTTTCCACTGTCTCAAGAATGACTTTCTGCAACTGGAAAAGCAACTAAATGTGAATAGTGACCCACGAAGAAATAACAAGAACTTACGTGAAGTTTTTTAATTCAAAGATACATCAGTTCTCTAGTCCTTTTAAGAAACCAACAAACAAAAATACTTTGATAAGTTTATGTTTGAAAAGCAACATCACATGTGTACGGAAAGAAAAATAAAATTTCTTTAAATTTGGCTTGTTGGCCCCATACTTCATCTACCAATGTATTTACTGCTGTTTACAAATAGAAACGTTCTATATTGCTAATAGTATCTTTGTAATTCTTTTGATAAATCCTAGTCCTCTTTGAGTTCTGTGTATTGATCTGAATAACGTGCATATTTTAATTTTTAAGGCAGATGGTAAACTTTCCTTGTGAGATTTCATCTTGTCATAGGTCAAACCCGCTCACAAAAATAATGCTTCAATTTTTAAGGTTGAGGTAAAAAGAACTTGAGCAACTAAATAGCAAAGCTGCACAGGCAATGAGCTGTGGCTTAAGATGCTCTGATTATGTTCTCTGCCTTTCCAATAGGCCAGGGTAGCTTTCTATCTGCTACAATGGAAAACAGGAACTGCTATGAAGCCTGAAACCAAAATGTTCCAAACCCAAATCCCAGCACATTTTAGTAGGCTTAGCATCTTTAAAGCATTTACCAGTTCCCCAGCTACTCCTTCAAAACAGCTCAAAAGAAAAACTCTTTCTCTTAAAATTTTCAATTCCATCACATTACATTCACACCTTTTCTAACCAGGGTAAAGAGCTTTAGAGCAGTTTGAACAGTGCAAAATGCACTTTTGTTAATACAATTTTTCTCTCAAAGCAAGTTCTTCATGCTGACATTTCCAGTGTAGGGAAGCACAAATACTATTAATCATCTTTTTTTTTTTTTTGAGGAAGATTGGCCCTGAGCTAACATCTGTTGCCAATCTTCCTCTTTTCTCTCCAAAGCCCCACCCAGTACATAACCAACCAACCGCTACACCAGCCCCTATTAATCATCTTGATTCGTTGCATTACCAAGGAGTTCTTTCTCCCTCTTGTTCTGAAGGATGAACAAAAGCTTGCGGTGTACGCTTCAGAAGATAAACTGCAGCATGAAGACCCCCTATGTTCACCCAGACAGTATGCACCTTCCGCCATAGGTGTCCCATTCCAGATAACGCCTGTGTACAAAAGCATAAAAGGAATTAGCCGACAATCTGCTTCTAGATCAACCAGAGGTGTTCACTGCCAGTGGCAAACACTAGGGCAAGAGAAAACACAAACCCCACTGAAACTAATATCCCTAAGTCTACTTAAAAAAGATCCTAGGGGCAGCCTGGTGGCGTGGTGGTTTGGTTTGCTCAGTTCCGCTTTGGCAGCCTGGGGTTTACCGTTTGGGATCCTGGGCGTGGACCTAGTCACCTCTCATCAGGCCATGCTGAGGCAGTGTCACACACAGAAGAGCTGCAACTCCTCAACTATAATACACAACTATGTACTGGGGCTTTGGGAAAAGAAAGAAAAGGAAGATTGGCAAAAGATGTTAGTGCAGGGCCAATCTTCCTCAAAAAAACCAAAAAAGATCCTAAAGTTGCCACAGGCTGAGCTTTTAAGTTAATGTACAGCACCTTGGTAAAGCATTTCTTGTCCTGAGTAAGTAGTACAGCTCGGCCTGTCCCTGGTCTACAGACACGGCTCATCTCCCGTAGGCAAGCTGGATAAAGGTCCCAGTTTCTCTTCTTGGAGCCTATCCTATAAAAGAAGGTTGGATGACAAACAGTTATTGTTACAAAAGATAAGTCTTTAGGACTATATGAAACAAGAAGTTATTAAAAACTCATTTTCATTGCAATAAGAAAATCCTTAGGTATGAAAAATAGTTGCCTTTTAGAAGCTGGAGCTTTGCCATTATATATCTATGAAATGAGTGCTCAAATAGTAAATGGCTTAGAATTTTGAATCAGTTACAGAAAAAAATTTTTTGACAACTATAATAGTTATATAAATTGTCCTCTTAATAAGTATAATAAGCAGTCAAAGTGTATAAACCAAACTACTGATCAGAAATCATTTATCCTGAGAAATAGAACAAAAAGTATTCCTCAATCCTTCTGTGTGAAGTATCATTATGTAATTCAACCAAGGGCTAGAAAGTGGATGAATCTTCTGTGATGGTCAGGATCAAAATGTAATTAATGCATTCCTGAGTTCTCAGAAGAAACAAAATGGGTGAATCCATCATATTGTTATAAATCTTAAGTGAAAAACTGCTCTACTGACTAAGTGTTAAAAGGAGTTGAAGATTTCTGACAGAATAAGCTCAAAAAAAATACAACAGATTTAGACAAGTGCATATTAGTATAACAAATGAAAGTAAAACTCATTTTTTAAAAAACCAAGTCCCACCTTTTTCCAAATGGCATATCTGTTACAATAATGTCTACAGAGCCAGTTCTCAATGGCAGATTACGAATATCCCACTGAACAGCATCTATGGGCAAGCCCCAGGACAGTTTGCTATGGGGACAAAGGAAAAGAGGCTTCAACATATTCTGAAGTATGAAATAAAAAAAATTGTTTTTTCTGAAGAGACTGCTATAAAGTACAAAATGCTACTAAAATGATATCAGTGACAACAACTTAAACAAAATTTTTAAAGGAGAATGTAGGAAGAAAGCACAAGGTCATAAGATAAAACTTTTATAACAACAGATATCTATAAGAATGACAAGGAAATTTAAAAAATGGTTAGGATTGGTTTTCAAAAGATGTCTACATCTGTTTCATCTACAATTTAAGCAAACAGATTAAAGAGAAAACAAGGTTGCCACACAAAGAACTCCAAGAGACAACTCTGAGAACAGTGGTAAGGCAGTAAATTACCGAAGTGACCATGTAAAAGATCAACGAAACAGACACATTGGAAAAAAACAAAAACAGAACTCTAATGAGAAAAAAAGATTATGAGTTGACACATCTGAAGGATAAAGTCTGGTAAATCTGCATCGTAATAACAGGAGACCTAAAGAAAAGGATATGTAAAATTAGTAAATATAGAGGTACCTGTTTTAAGATTAAAAAACAAATATATCTATCTTACTATAAAAAAAGGCAAAGAGGGCCGGCCCCGTGGCTTGGTGGTTAAGTGCGTGCGCTCCGATGCTGGTGGCCCGGGTTCGGATCCCGGGCGCGCACCGAGGCACCACTTCTCCGTCCATCCTGAGGCCGAGTCCCACATACAGCAACTAGAAGGATGTGCAGCTATGACATACAACTATCTACTGGGGCTTTGGGGGGAAAAAATAAATAAATAAAATCTTTAAAAAAAAAAAAAAAAAGGCAAAGAAAGAAAAAGTTAAGATCAAAAAAAAATGACAGAAGACAATTAATATAATAATAAATGATTTATATCTTCCACATTAAGGCAAAGCTACTGGGTTAAGAAACACAATACGACAGGCAATAATGCACAGGCAAAGAATTAAAGGCAAATCAAAGATTATGAGCAGAAATTAAGGGCTATATTGATATTTAATAAAAAATTTGAGAAAAAATAAAATGCAACATAGGCAATCACTATATAATGGAAAGAAATATAAAAAATGGGAGTATTACAATCACAAGTAACAATAACTGCAACAAAACAACATAAGCCAAAAATATTAAAAATCAGGGTAAGATTGATAGATGAAGGTGCAGAGGATCTGAAAAATAAAATATTCAGAAAATAGAAAAGAAGGATGTGCAACTGTGACATGCAGCTATCTGCTGGGGCTTTGGGGAGAAAAAAAGGAGGGGGATTGGCAACAGATGTTAGCTCAGAGCCGGTCTCCCTCAGCAAAGAGAGGAGGATTAGCACGGATGTTAGCTCAGGGCTGATCTTCTTCATAAAAAAAAAAAAAAAAGACATCTACAGTATATAACTTAAGATTTTAGATAATAAAAAAACCTTGGGGCAGCCCCGTGGCGCAAGCGGTTAAGTGCGCGCGGTTAAGTGCGCGTGCCCTGCTGCCGCGGCCCGGGGTTCTCCGGTTCGGATCCCAGGCGCGCACCGACGCACCACTTGGCAAGCCATGCTGTGGTGGGGTCCCATATAAAGTGGATGGGCATGGATGTTAGCCCAGGGCCAATCTTCCTCAGCAAAAAAGAGGAGGATTGGCAGATGTTAGCTCAGGGCCAATCTTCCTCACACACACACACACAAAAAAAACACCTCAATAGGAAATAGGAATAAAAAACAAAAAGCATCAGGCATTAAAACCATAGAACAAATAGTATATGAAAGAACAAAATAAAGCACTGGCAATTCTAATCGAAAAAGGGAAAAAACAAAGTTAGCAAAGAAAAGAGGATAACCAATATACAGACATAAAATAGTATTAGGCATACCATGTATAAGTAATAAATATGAGTATTTGCATAAAATGAATATATATATTTAAAAACAACTGATTTCTACATACAAATAAAAACCTCACACTAAGGGTTATGGAGGCAGCTGTTTCTAGACGTGGTAAGGCCAAACATGGGATATGATGACTTCCTAGGCTATTCAGGATGTGGAGCACCCGTAAGAGCTAACAAATCTGCTGACCACTACCTATTCCTGTCACTTTATAAGAAAATGAAGAAGACCAGTGAAACCATTTTATGATGAGGCCTCTGGTAAGAAACTGTAGTGACATTTCAACCAATTCTTCCCAAAGACAGCCGAGCCTCTGAAAGAACAGTGAAAGGCTGACACAGATGGTGTTGTCAAATGTAATTTGGAGTAATGGGCTAGGACTTAAGATACTATAATGACATACATCTCAGATGAAAATCAAAATTTCCCAGAGGCTGATGGATTTTCCATGCACAGGTATCAAAGGGATATATAGTTGAAGGACCTCGGAATATTCTGCTTGGAGAAGAGAAGATTTAGAGGGTGGGTGGACAAGTTGGGGGAGGTTTGGTAGCCCTTCAAAGATCTGATGTCAATCATCACGTGACATAGAGATAAGATTTTTCTTGATGGACCCAAGTGGGAGAAAAAAACTAAATCTGTGGAAGGTACAGGGAGAGATTCAATTCACTAAAAGATATGACTAGCACTCAAAGCTGTGCTAAGATGGAATCAACAGCCTCAGAGGCAGAGTCATCAGAGGTGTTTACACAGGCTGGAAGGACAATGGTCAGGATTTCCTATAGGATACTTAGGCACCACGGAAATGGCTTTCAGGTCTCTTCCAACTCTGAGATTTTTTTAAGTGCCAAATAAGAGAAGAAAGGCTACGGGCCGGCCCGGTGGCTTAGCGGTTAAGTGCACGCGCTCCGCTGCTGGCGGCCCGGGTTCGGATCCCGGGCGTGCACCGACGCACCGCTTCTCCGGCCATGCTGAGGCCGTGTCCCACATACAGCAACTGGAAGGATGTGCAGCTATGACATACAACTATCTGCTGGGGCTTTGGGGGAAAAAATAAATAAATAAAATCTTTAAAAAAAAAAAAAAAAAAAAAAAAAAAAGAAAGGCTAAATAAACTGTAGTATTTCTATACAATGGAATACTACGCAGTCATTAAAAAATATACTATATAAAACCATAAAAAGTGTTTGAAAATTTGTGAAATTAAAATGAATCTATATAATGTTCTTCTACTATGTGGGAAAAAAGATATATGAATAAGGAAAGAAAAAGGAACACAGAAATAAAAATAGTTGCATTAGGGTGGGGAAATAATAGTTAAATAAAAAACTTTTAAAAATATGAATTATTTTCAATAAACTTTTAAAATTTAAATGGAGTCTCACAATATGGTCACAATGCACTGGGGGTATTAATTCATAAAGTCAATATGAAAAGTGATTATCTAAAGCTAAGAGGTGCTATAAAATGTTTTAAATTAAAATTTTACCCTTTAATTTGATTCTTGGTCAATAAAGATGAGATGTTATTTGCTGCTCTGTTCACAGCCAACGGATTATTATCACCAGCAATATGATAACAGTTAGACCATTCAGTAGCACCCTAAAAGACAAGAGTATATATTAAAACAGAAGTAGAAAACTGGAAAAAAATGATTAAAAAGGGAAAATCATTTCAATCATCAATAAACAAGACAATCCAATCCAATAATCCAATGCTTTTCTAAAGTGGCAAAATACTGCATGTTGTCAGCTTTGCTATTCCCCTTGCTTGAAATGCCCTCCTGTTCTTTCTCTGCTTGCTGAATTCCTACTCATCTCTCAAGATCCAGCTCAAATATCGTGCCCTGTGTGACATCAATCCCAACTCTCCAGGCGGTCTCTCATTTGCACCCCCAAAAGCACTTTGTACATATCTCTACCACTGCACTTGTTCTCTTTGTACTTATTTCTATACCTGTCTGCCTCTCAACAAATCTGGGAACTCCTTAAGGACAAGTATGGTATTTTATTCAATTCCACACCAAGCAATGTCTGGCACACAGAAGGCATTACAGATCTTAAATACAAATGTGGTTTGAAAAACTTAACCAAATCCAACTGACTAACCTATACCCTTTTATGATTATGGGATTTTATGTAACCTGATACAATGGAATATTCAAGAATTTCAAAATAAAATGTCACCTCCATTGCATTGGCTTTTTGAATGATAACCACCATATCCCTGAAAGGATTTTGTAATTTCATGTCAAAACATGTCAGCAGAACATAAATACCAAGCTGTCAAATATGATTTGTGGAATGAGGTGACATACTACCCTAGGCCTGAACAATGTTCTACAGAGATTAACAGGTTTCTGACATGGAAGCAGAGAAAGTTCTGCCCTCTGCTTTGGGATGAGCAACAAACACTTCTTCTTTGTAAACAGTAATACCCCTCATCCATGAACACAGTGCTTCGTAGCTTTTTCTTTTGCCCAGACACTTGAGGGTGAGGGGATGTGGAAGAGACCTACAGAGTGTAATGAAAGCCTCTCAGGTGATTCTGATTCCTCAACATTCTTCTAAACCTATTTAGATTTTCAGCCTCTGAAAGATATGGGTTTTGTAGTACTTTCAAGTTTTAAAAGGAGTATTCTAGATCAAGTATTTTATACTTGGGTATAATTTGGTGAATAAAAATAATTCACCAAAATAATTTGGTGAATAAATCTATATATATACCCTGTCAATTCCTCTCATAATTTCATTCATTTTGATCATATATCAGCTTAGGTTTTTTCTATTTGACATCATCATGTCTACCCTTACATGGAAATGCCTCAAACTTTTCATCTGTTTTTGGGGGGGAGGGGCGGAGGCTCTTCTGGACTCACTCTAGCTTTGTTGTACATTTCTTGACACATAGTGACCTTCCTGCTATTTCAGACATATATACACCATGGTTTAATGTTACAGAATAACACTGCTTTGATCCCAGAATTCTTAAGAACAACTGAGTTTTTCTCTGTGTGGGTCTCTTTAGCCAGAGTAAATTTCTCTAGCTGACACTGGCAGAAAACAGTAGCCATCTAGACTACTATGATTTTCTCTGGGATCTGAACTCCCAGATGACAGATGTCATTTTCTAATTGCAATTTGGATTATTTTTCCCTTTGTGGGTTGCTTTGGACTTGATCACCTGTCCAGTTTCTGCCCACTCACAGAATCTGTGGTATCTCCTTGCAGTTGATTCCCATTGACTTTGGGTATACAAGAACTTACTATGTTTCACAAATTTAAGCAATTTTAATGAAGAAGAGTGCCCTCTTCCAAATTATTTATAAAAGTATAGATAATATTGATACAAGGAGACTCTCCTGTTAAACGTTCTCTACTTAGAAAATGCCTTTCCATTTCTTACTTTGCTTTAGGCAGTTTTTGAGTCCTCTCAATGTTATAGTAATTTTGAAAACTATTTAAGAGCATTTGGTATGTAACCTTGTTACATACCAAATCTTCCTTAAAAAATCTTCCTAAAAAAATCTAAATAATGTTCATAGGTTTCCCCTTTTTACAACTATATTTACTCCCTCCAAGAACATAACTGGATTAAGAAGCATAATCTCACTTTATAGAGATGAATGCCATCCTCCAGTTTATGCTTATGCCTTCAATTATCTTTTCTGTTCAAGTCTACCAGCTTGTCTGTTATAAAAAGGGACTCACCAGTTTATAATTCTCAGCCTCCTCTGTAATCCACCCGATAAATATCACTTACAATCTCTCTAGTCCTTGGCTTTCTGTAGTAAGTGGTTACATCCTTTAAATAGAAGTTCTAGCTTTACTAGTGTAATTCTTCAAAACTCTTGGGTCCATTGCCCCAACACAGGTGATTTTATTATGTCTAATTTGCCCATTAGTTCTAGAACATTCTGGATATATCGCTTGCTTATCCAAAAGCTAAAGAAAAGTTATTACCTCTATTGGTATTGCCCCTGTTCCACACATCGGATCAACTATTATATCAGTAGGTTGAGGAGCACAGAGCCTAGAGAAAAGAAAATAGCCTATGTGAAGAGACTTCAACCAACAGCTGAGGCCTCCACAGTGATTATTCCTGAAGCTCTAAGATTAAGGACCAATTATGCTAGCATGAAGGAACACCAATCAATATTCATTTTAAAAATCTATTTGTAATTCCATGTTGACTTTATATCCTAGCACTTAAAAAGAAAAAAAAATTACATAGAACTACAAGTCCCCTTTGACTATCATCTGAAATCCCATTTCACTCTCAGATGGAATTTAGCTTCTAGATCTTTTAATATGTATATGTATTATATATTATATATACATATGCCTTTAGAAAACACACATAAACCTGTTATTTGCACATAAACCTGTATTGTTACTTAAAAAAAAACTCAAACGTTTCAAGTAAAACATGTATCAATGTAAGTTTAATGGCAATCAGACGTCCAGTATTCCTTTCCTTATGAATAACCCTACTATAAAATAATCCCTTTATTTTGAGCACTTAGTATTTGCCAGGCGTGGATTTAAACTCTTTGCATGTATTATCTCATTTAATCCTTTTATTTTTTTTCCCCTGAGGAGGATTCCCCCTGAGCTAACATCTGTTGCCAATCTTCCTCTTTTTTTGCTTGAGGAAGATTAGCCCTGAGCTAACATCTGTGCCAGTCTTCCTCTATTTTGTATATGGGTTGCGGCCACAGCATGGCTGACGAGTGGTGTAGGTCCTTGCCTGGGAACTGAAGGAGTGAATCTGGGCCACCGAAGCGAACTGCACTGAACTTAACCACTACACCACTAGGCTGACCCCTCATTTAATCCTTTTAACAACCTTATGAGGTAGGTTACTATTATTATTCTCATTTTACAGATAAGCTGATGAAAAACCTGTCCATGGATACAAAACTAATAGGTGACAGAGTCAGATTAGAGGCATTACTTTTAGTGGCTTAAATGTTACCCCTTCTATGAAGTATCCCCTTCTCAGACAGGTCACTAGGTTTCTCTTTCCTTCTTTTGTCCTGCTAATCTTTTCATGTTCTATTATGATATTTATTACATGTAAAGTAATTATTTATCTACCTCACAAGACTGAGATTTTTGGGGACTAACACTGGATATGTAGTCTAATAACCATCCAGTTCTACCTCCCTGTTCCTGCCCCTCAACACATGGTAACAGAATCCTCCGCAACCCTCTTGGGAATAAGCAACCCTGTATTCCCGGCCATTGCTACTGGGTCCCCATGAACACTTGACCAAAACTATGTCAATCAGATTCTTTCTTCCAAGAATTGGGAATAAAGAGCTAGAAGCATTAGTCAGTATGAGGCTGGTCATTTGAAATTGGAAATATATAAATTTATATATTAGAAATATATAAATTTAGATGAAGGGCAGCCATTTGCACAGATGAGCAGAGACAAGAGCCCATAGGCTCCCAGGAGAGAGAAAAGTGACTGTCTAGGTTTCTGGTGGTTTTCAAGATTTGATTCTACCCTTCTTGAGACATAGCTCTCAGTTTTTCTGTGGATTCCTCAAGATTTCTCAGTATCTTTCCAATAAATCCCCCTCCCACACAATCATCACTTTTTTATCTTAAACTAGCTTACTTAGGTTTCTAATAGTTTCACCCAAAATAACTCTCTGTATCCCTGGCTCCTACTATAATGCCTGGCAGTAGATAATAAATGTTTGTTAAATGAATGAAGATTAGGAGCTCTTCCTTAATCAAATGGGCCCAGTTTTCTATTACTGTTATTGAACTGATAGGTTCCAACTGAGCTGAACTGTGACTCTGTGGATGAGCAGGATAAAAGAAGCAGCAAAGACCAGAAGAAAAGGAAATACACTTAACTACCAGGGTACGCCAGGCACTGTATATAAAAAGTATCTTGCATATGTTTCTGCGTTTACTCCTCACTTTAAGTCTCACATCAAACCCATTTTGCAGTCTGGAAAACAGAAACTTGAAGACGACGACTTGTCCTAGTGGTGAAAAGAAGCACCCAATAAAAGGGCAAAGGGCAAAGGAGAAAGAAAGCTAAGTCTTGCACTTGGAAAAGACGACTATTCCAAGACGATTCCTGGGTTGCTATGAGTATAAAATTTAAAAATATAAGTAAAAGCTCTCTGTGTCCATTTATACATTATACACATTTAAAAAAATCTCTGCTTTCATCTGCTTCACTGCACAGAAATGAAACAAAGCAAAATCTGCTCTATTTCTCAACATACAGTATATCCTTTCTAAACAGAAATGTGGCAATCCCATTTAAGAGGCAGATGAAAACTATCATTTCCCATTTTAAAATCAAGAAAACTGAGACAGTGATTAAGTGGTATTTTCAGGATTACAAGGAATCAACACTGGATACAAGGGCAAGAAATGGATCATTAGCCTTTTATCCTGTTCTTTATCCACTAAATTCCAGCACAGTACCTCATAAAAAATTGAAGTGTTGTGAAGGGAAAATTCAAACCAAGGTGTCACTTTAATCTAGACAGCAAACCCATTCTTACCTGAGCATCCCATAGGCAAGAGTAGATCTAAGAGTGGTAGGTCCAAAATGTGTGATACTTCTTCGGTGGAGACTCTCTTCTGTCAATGCAATGCCCACAACAATTTCATGGTCATGGATATTCAAAAGAACCTATAATAAAACAAGACAGACGAAAACAGTTTTAGGATTGTTCAAACTGTACTTTAATAAGTACTATTACTAAGATACTTTTATTTGAGGCTTTATTAATTTTTTTTAAACTTTATTATTGAGGTAAACTTTGCATACGTAAAGTGCACAAATCTTAAGTGTGCAGCATAGTGAATTTTTATCTATATATACACCGTGTAACTGCCACCTAGATAAAGATATATAATATTTCTAGCATGCCAGAAGGCTCCTCTTGCCCTCTCCCAGTCAATACCCTCCCAAAGTAATAATTAATCTACTACCACCATAAATTAGTTTTGTCTTTTTTTGAACTTCATATAAATGAAATCATATAGCATATACTACTTTTAAATTTTAAAATCTATACCTTTCATTCACTATATAAAGTGAGCTATAACCAGATTTCCCCTGAATTTTTATAATACCAACATATTTTGAAGGTTTATGAGTTTTTTAATACAGATTTTTAAAAATATTTTACTTTTTTTGGAAAAAATTTCAAACATACAGAAATGCTACAAGAACACTGGCACAACAAACTCCTAAATATACCTTTCACTTAGATTAACCAACTGTTAACTCCAGGCTATATTTGCTTTACCAGCTATAATTTTCTTACTTAGTTATTTTTTAAAACTTGACTCACTTAATAATGTCTGTGAAATAATGTTTTTTTGTCCTATAGTTTTTCTAACATACAGTTAAATATAAACTATTCAAATGAAAATAAAAATAAAATTTGTTCTCCAATCCTCCATCTAAAATTTCCTTACCATGATCTTAACAGCAGCAGCAGCTCACACTTATGTAGCACTTCTTATATGGAAGCCCCTGTACTACACACTTTACGTTGGTTACCTCATTTCATATTCACACCCTCTGAGCTAGGTATTATTATCCTCCTTTTATAGATGAGAAATTGAGACACAAAGATGTCAGCTTACTAGCTCAAAGTTATACAGCTTATAAATTGGGATTTGAACCCAGGCAGTATGGCTCCAGAATCTGTCCTCTGAGCCCCGTTGCTAACTTTTGGACATCATTGTTCTAGTTAGCTTATATATTCTCATAACAGCTGTTATGAGAAAAAAAGGATTGGAGAATTGTTCTTCTGATTTGATATGCAAAAAAAAAAGTTACAGAGAGAATAAGTGACTTGCCCCAGATTTAAGTGTCCCAAAAGCAACCGAAAATGACTTTTTGGTAAAAATGTCAGCTGCTAGGGGCCTTTTAAGCTGTCAGAGATTTAAAGACTAGTTAGTATGGCCCACATGTGAATCATCTTGCAGTAGAATATGGAGACCAAGGAGAGTAAGCATGCTAAAAAGAGGCATGTGGGTTTGGGAACCTAGCAGAATTTAACAAAGAGGAGAGCTGGCTCTAGGATGAGTATTAGCAATCATGTCCTGATTTTAGGAGGTCAAGGTTTGTTTTAAAAATATACTCCAGTTTTTTTTGGTAGCAAAACTCTACAACCAAGACACACAAAAACAGAAAAATGGTTTTAATTCTGGTTCAATTTTATAATATGAAAATCCATGTAATGTAAAAAGTACTAGATTATAAATGAGAAAACTCAAGTCTTAATAGCTCCCACTTAGTGAGCACTTAGTATCCCGGTATTGCACCAAACATTTAAAACATATCTCACTTAACCTTCAGGACACACTTAAATGGCTCCATTTGAAACACAGGCTCAGAGAGATTATCTTGTCCAAAGTTACACAGCTGTGGAGTCAAACTTTTGATCTAGATCTGTCTCCATAGTCCATGCTCTTGTGGGTTAGTCTGAGAATTCTACAAATCTATAATTACAGCCTTCTTGCATCATCATATTCAGAGCCTGTACCTACCTCCACATCAAAGTTGGTCATGTCAGCCTTCCACTTAAAATACTCTTGAACAGCACCTCCAAAATCTCTTGCGGCTTCATATGAGGAAAAGCAATGCTTCTCTCCTGCCCTGTTGCATGTGACTCTAAATTTGAGCACTTCAGTATCAGTTTCTTCTTTTGAGCTTCCATCAGTCTCATCTTTGCAGGATGCCAAATCACCATCACCTACTAATGTTGATACCTCTTCTTTGATGCCTGGATTTTCATAATAGTCTAGGATATCTGAATCTAAGGCATTGTTAGTGAACTCTTTTTTAACATCTCTCTCATCTGTCTTGTTTCCTCTTCCATTATCAATCTTCTCTTTACCTGAATTCCGATTTATCTTTTTGTGCTTTGTTTTTTTTTTCTTGAAACTGGTGTTAATTTTCCATACTTTTAAAGGGTGTGACCATGGAAGTTTTCCAGCCAATTCTTCAAAATCCTTTAGAACTTCTTCCTATAAAGGACAGAGAATGAAATCCATTCATTTCATTCACTTCTCACCACTTTAATTGAACAAATAAACCTGTACTTTGCCTATAGACTACATTAATCATTATTTTGGGGGTGGTAGGGGTGCACAACAAGAGTAAATAAAATAATGCCTGCAAACTAAGGAAATTAAAATCTCACTGAAAATTAAGATATATACAAATTAAGCCACTAAAGAATAATACACAACAGAATGGTAGATGGGAGGTTGGGCTTCAAGATTAAAATGTAAGCAATAAGAAACTATTAACAGTGGTTACCTCCAGGGAAAGTGGGTGGATGAAAGGCAGGGGAGGGAGGGCAACTTATCCCTCACTGACTGACTTCCTTTTGAACTTTGTGCTGTGTATACATATTAACTATTTTTAAAAGTAATATTTTTTAAAAGAAAATAACCTTAAGCAGTTAAAAATGTATCTATCCAACTTCTAAATAGTATGTAGAGTCATCTTTTTAAAAAGTAAATCTGATCATGCCCCTCCCTTGCCTCAAGCCCCTCAATAGCTTCCCATTTCGTATAAAAAATCTAAATTCCTTAAAAAGCACAACATAATCTGACTCCTGCCTACTTCTCTTACATCACTTGGAGATCATTCTCTCCCTCACTTCCTATGTCTGCTTGAAAGGTATTTGCTTCCCGTGGTCTCTTTGCATTGCTGGCTCCCTTCTCATTATTTAATAGTAATTTAAAAGGCATATCCTCTAAGAGACCTGCTCTACTTAAAGTAGTCCTCTCAAGTCATTCTCTTCCCATTTTATTTTCTTTACACAGCTTAGCATTATCTAAAGTTACTACGTTTATGTATTGTTTAGCATCAAGGCTCCTCCCAGAAGGTAAACTCAGGGTGCAAAGGACATTCCCTGTCTTGACCACTGCTATAAGCCACACGCCTAGAGCAATGCATGGAATACAAAAGGTGCTCAATAAACAGCTCCTGGATATGTGATTAAATGTTAAAATGGGTGGTACAGAGCCATGCTGTCCAATTCAGCAGCTACTAGCAACATGTAGCTATTGAAATTTGAATGATCTAAAATAAAAAACTCAGTTTTTCAGTCACATTAGCCACACTTCACACACTAATGGCTAGTGGCTATCATGTTGGACAGCGCAGACATAGACTATTTCCATCAGAAAGTTCTATTGCAGAGCGCTGGTACAGACGGTATATGTGACTGAAGACCAAAGTAGAAAGGTATCAGTGCTGACTGACAGAACCGAGACTTGAAATGGAAGTGAGTGAAGGCTTTGATCTGATACTACTTGAAACCTGATGAAATGATGTCAAACTTCGGGTTTGGCAAATTCAATTTTATCTACAAATCATTTGCCTACAAAGGGCATCCACAGGATTTGTGGGTTTAACATGGTGAAATAACACTGGGGTACAGCCCTTTTCTTTCTCCGGAAACCATTTTAAAAGAAAAAAACAACAGAAATACTAACTCTAAACAGAATCTATACGGTATCCATAACCTTGAACCATAACATAAGAATTCCCAAGTGCAGTGAAGGTCAAACAGAGGTGGAGGAAGACAAAAAGAGGGAGAACGCCTACAGATCTCAGACAAAGGGTAGAACATTCTGCAAAGTAGTAGCAAATAAACTCTTCTTCGGAACAGCAGGAAAGAAGTACATACTGGCATAGGGAGCTTCCCTGGGCCATATTTGTATGAAACAGCAGAAAAGAGAAATGAAAGCTGAATAAAGAATCGCAGACATGCTCTATTTGCTGGAAATTGTTGGTAAGGATAGAGCTGAGGAGAGTTACTCTACCTTGTGAAGAACCCTGAAGATGCTGATCTCTTCAGGCTAGGGAAAAGTAATGGTTAAAAGAACTCACTCAATGGTATGGAAATTATACCTCAATAAAGCTATTAAAAAACAAAAAGAAGGAAGGGGGCCGGCCCAGTGGCACAAGCGGTTGGGTGTGTTCGCTCCGCTGTGGCAGCCCGGGGTAGCCGGGGTTCGCGGTTCGGATCCCGGGTGCACACCGACGCACTGCATGTCAGGCCATGCTGTGGCGGCGTCCCACGTAAAGTGGAGGAAGATGGGCATGGATGTTAGCCCAGGGCCGGTCTTCCTCAGCAAAAAGAGGAGGATTGGCAGATGTTAGCTCAGGGCTGATCTTCCTCAGAAAAAAAAAAAAAAGAAGGAAGAGGAGAACTCATGCACCTACAACCCTTTGTCGGAGGAACTTCATAGTGAACCAGAGGGCTTTCCTGCTGGCCTGGAACAGTTCCTGGCCTCTCCGACAGGAACCTCCTATAAACAGCAGGTCCAAGGTGAACTCCCTCATTCAAAGATGAGCAATTATCAAAAGTTATCAGCACAAGATTTATATGAACATAAAAAACGAAAAGGGAGGAAAAGAACAGAAAAACAGCAGATAAAAAGCAATGACCAGAAAGACCCTGCCACAGGGCAGTTTAAAACTGATCAAACATACTGACGTTGCATCAAAAAACGTAATGAGGAAATACCTTTGTAAAATAAGAGCTCAAAGCAGAGACACAAAAGCAGAAAGAAGATGAGGTGAGCCACCAGAAGGAGATGAAACTGGAGCTTGTCGAGTTCAAAGAAAAAGTGGAGTAAGAAAATAAAACCATTGCAGAAATGAAGACCATATTGAAAGCACCACATACAAAAGACACTGCTTCAAACCCAGTAAGGGATGTGGAGAAAAGCAAAGCAAATACAATGGAAATGAGCAAAAAATAAAAAAAAGATTAGAGATAATATGATAAAACATAAAAGACAGTCAAGAGATCCTACACATGTATAACCAGTATCCCTGAAGAAAGGATTTAAAATAATGAAACAAAAAATATTTTTAAAAAATAATTCAAGAAAACTTGCCAGAAATGTAAGTGGATGTGAATCTCTCTATGGACTGACATGTCTTGACAAGGAATTATCAACAGTGAGACATATCCTGGTGAGCTTATTAGACTTCAAAGATAAAAAAAAAAAAAAAAAATCTGGGCATCAAGCAAAAATATCATGAAAGTAAATAATAAGGGGAAAAAGTATCAGGATGGCCTCAGAATTTTCCATGGCAACATTTAATGCTGGAAGAGAATGAACACTGCATAACATTCTTCTAAGGAAGAAAAGCTTGACTCCAACTTTTACATCTAAACTATTAATCAAATATAAAGGTGAAAGACAAACATTTCTGAACTTATGCCATTTAAGAGATAAAAAGAAAAACTATAACAAAGCACAGGTAGTGTGCCTGTAATCTATTTAACTGTAGGACTAAAATGAAAACACATAGAGGTATTATGACTACAAAAGAGTATTTAAATGTTACAAACTGGCATGCAGCTGGAGGGGAAAGGTAAGAGAAGCTGGGAAGTTATGTAAGCATGCTGATATCCTATTCTCTTATACCTAGAAGTCAAAGGACAGAAGTTAAAGCTGATAAATAAAAGTGTATTTAAACCCATATGGGTCAACACTAAGCAAAATAACTGGAAGGTGGAAGGGAAGGAGGGGAGATGTGGAAAATATGCCAATTTCACCACTGCTCTCAGTAGAGATTCAAAAAATACTCTATGAATACTATTCGAGTGAGAGAGGTAGGAGCTCAAAGGCTAGCTCTGCCACTTATTCTGAGTGTTCGTGGGATGGCCATTTAAACTCTCTGAGTTGATTTTCTCGTTTTTAAAGCAGGGCTCAACTATCATTTGTGTAAAGATTTGTCAACATGCATATATGCATACATTTATATACGCATATACACCTCTAGAAGGTTATAGAACAAATGGTTGCAATCTTTTCCTCCAGGTAGGGGAACCAGGTGCCTTCCAGGTTAACAGAGATGGGAGAGACTTACTTCTTATGGTATACCCTTCTACACCTTTAGAACATTGTACCATTATTGTATTAACCTTTCAAAAGTAAATTGCTTGAATAAAAAAATAAAACTATATAATATGAAATAAAATTTCCAAAAAAATACTGTGTAAACAGATTCAGTTGTAATTATAAAGCTAACAGCTAGAGAACAATGCAAACCTTCCAAACTATTATAAAACACATGCATGTAGAAAAAGCAAACACATAACATAAAGAAATTTAAAAAAAAGAAAAAGAAAGCAGAAGTGTGTAACAAAATGTGACAGAACCAAGACCAAACATTTCAGTCTTGTCAATAAATATCAATGGGATAAACTCTTATTAAACAGAAAAATGACCCTCAGATTAAATATGTACAAGGAAGTATATAGGATATTCGTTGCACCACTGTAATAGCAAAAGATAATGAAAAAAACCTAATGTCCTAAAATGGGACTGATTAAATCATGAGGCAGTCAAATCCAGCAGTGATACTGGTGGGATCTCCAAGATATATGACAAAAAGCATAGCACACAACAGTATGTATAGTATGCTTCGGTTTGTGTAAATAAGTGAATAGAATACATATATTCATAAAATATCTCTAGAGGGATATCCAAGAAATTGATAATAGTTGTTGCCTCCACGGAGGGAAGTGCATGGTATGGGGATATAGGAACAAATACTTACTTTTCACTCTATACACCTTTCCATCTTTATAACTTTGCTCTAAGTACATGTATTAACTAATTTTAAAAAACGCATATAAACCACAAATGTTAGCTTTTAAAAAAAAAAAGCTAATAAATTCATGATATCATCTGAATACTTAAAAACAAGAGAACCCATTAGAATGCTTAAATTATCAGGCTTTTTGTAAGACATGGGAAAGTATACTACTACAGAGAACAAAACTGATGGTCAACAGATTGAAAGCTAGAAGCAAATATTTAAAAACAAGGTTTTACTGAGGCATGTTGCAATTTAAGTCCACCAAGCGAGGGGCTTAATTTTTCACAGTCACACACAATAAAAGCTGCTCTTGCACAGATCTGAAAATCTACCTTAATCCTTGCTGCCCTTCTTTTGGGACTTCCAATAGCAACCTCTTTTGTAGTTACTCACAAGGCAACTCGGAAAAGCTGGCTCATATAGAACCATTCCATAATATCAAATTCACCTCCAATTAGAGATCAAAAACACCCAAAATAATATAAACTATAGGATGGCAAAACGCAGCAATTTAAGAAAATATTAATAATGTCCTAGTAAGTTAGAGGCAAGAATTTAAGATGGAAACTTATAACTTTTTTAAACGCTTGTTAACATTTATTCATGTATAGAATTGGCTATTAAAATTCTGAAATACTTAGCAGCAAAAATTCTCAGCAGCCTGCCTGTTACTTACTAGTTTCACAGACATGATTCAGTTGGCAATGACTATCAGAAGTCTGAAGGGTTATAATACTAGTGTTGAAAATTACATCTTTAGTTAATAAAAGTTTAATCTCTTTTCAGTCTGAATTCTTTTATGTCTGGTTTTATTTTTTCTAGGCTGTGGGTTCATAGCCTTGATTGGTTTTTGAATGTTTTAGAAATCAACCTATTGCCAATAAATTTAATTAGAGAATTAGGCAGTGTATCATAGTTTTAAAAAACAGATTATTTCTAACATAGCCAATAAAACTGATAGAAAAAAGTTTTCAAGCATTTGACTCTGGAAACCTGACTGAAAAGCTATGTGGAAAAATACTAAGGCCTTACTGAGACCTAATTTCAACCTTTAGCTTAGACAGCATCTCAATATTTAGGAATCAGATGCTAAACACAAGTTTGAGACAAAGCTGTTGTCCTAACAACTGAAGGAGTATTTAGATATTACTTTGGCTTTATTTCAAAAAACGAAGTTACAGGAGAAAGCAGGGTAGAAGCAGAATGGTGAAAGGTGTTATTTGTAGATGACACAAACTGTTACTTGCTCTTTGGTTCACAGTCTGAAAGCAATTCTATTTTGAAAACATATATATCACCAAAGCTAATCTAAGGTATATATCTTTTGTAAGAAAGTCAAACAATTTGTTTTATTTCTTATACATTTTGATGTTTTTCTATATTGATTTTTATTTTGTTATTCTTTCATCTTTTTTTTAAATGAGGTATAATTGACATATAGTTTCAGGTGTACAACACAATGATTTGATATTTGTATTTATGATGAAATGACCACCACAATGAACCTAGTTAACATCTGTCACCACAGTTACAAAATTTTTTTTTCTTGTGATAAGAATTTTTAAGATCTACTCTCTTAGCAACTTGCAAATATGCAATACAGTATTATTAATTATAGTCACCATGCTGTACATTACATCCCCATGACTTATTTATTTTGTAACTATAAATTTGTACCTCTTGACCCCCTCCATCCATTTCACCCACTCCCCATCCCCCACAATACTGATTTTTAAAAACAACTTTTGGGATGGACTGTCAACAAATCTCTGGATTTTATTGGAAAAGCCTCCCAGTATTCTATATTATAAAAGCAGTAGTAATGCTAAATGATAGAATGTGAAAGGTGGAAATAATCTCTTTGGAGATGGCTGAAAATCAGCTACCGTGTTTGGGAAGCCTCACCTTTGTTTCTTTGAACTGATAATCTTTAAACTCCTGAACAACCACAAATAAGTTATCAACTGATCTCAGACAATGAACCTGGGGAGGGAAAAAAACGTTAGAAACAAACTTCTGAGAAAGCTTTTGAAATCACACAAACTACCAACATTTAAATATAAAAATCAGGTACAAAGATTTTAAAGCAACTAATACCTATGATTTGTATTTTAAAATTTTCCCATCTCTCCAGTCTCGCATCTTTTTGGTTACCCATCAGCTTCTATTCCCCTAGAGAAAAGGAAGAAGGACAGATGGAAGGATAGAAGCTTGAAGTGCTATGTGGGCAACACAGGTTTATGGAAGAAAGGCAAGATGAAGAAAGTCAGGCAGGGCTTTAGCTTATTTCCCTGGTGGCTCCCCAGGGTACACCGTAGGTTGCAGCGGTTAAGAGCATACAGTTTGAGGGGCCGGCCCCCGGGGCGTAGCAGTTAAGTGCGTGCGCCCCGCTGCTGGCGGCCTGGGTTCGAATCCCGCATGCGCACCGATGCACCGCTTCTCAGGCCATGCTGTGGCGGCGTCCCATATAAAGCGGAGGAAGATGGGCACAGATGTCAGCCCAAGGCCAGTCTTCCTCAGCAAAAAGAGGA